CAGGGGCGGAGAAGGCGAGAGGACAAGGGAGGGGTCCTGGACCTCCAGGGATCCTGGCCCACAGCTGACTGACCGGATGGGATGGGGTGTTGGGGAGCGCAACAGGGATCGGGAGAGAGAGCTGAGCAGGCTCAACTGAATGTGGGCAAAACCCCCACTAGATACCTGGGACCCATCTCCTCCCTGAGAAATGGGACTCACGTTAGCCCTCCCACCAACCCCAGCTGGACTTGGAGAGATTTGCCCCAAGTCCAAGGAGCTCACAGGGCAAGAATTAGAGGCGTGAGTCACTGTGATTATTGCCAGTTGGGGACCGGGTGCTGAGTCTGAGGGGGGAGTTGGTTTCAGTCTCAGGGGAATAGAAACTGGTTTAGGGCCTGAGAGGGCCTGGAATCCTGTGACCACCCCCTTCAGGAATGTGCCCCAAGCTCAGGGGCGACTCAAGGAAGTCTGAGGGGGACAGGAGCATGGGCTTGGTGTGAATACCCCCTCACACACACACACCCTCCCTTCCCACGCCCCTACTCTTGCCAGAGTTCAGATGGTCTGTCTTTTCCCTCTCTACGGCCCCAGCTACCCTGGCTCCCAAGAATGCCTGTGGGTAGAGGGCCACCATGCCTCCACTCTCCCCAGATCCCACTTCCATTTTGAGGGCCCTGAGTGCCCTGAGATGGGGAGGTTGGTGAGGGATGCAAGGAGGAACCCAGAGGTCTGCCTGTGGGCACCAGCAGAATCCCAGGCAGGGAAGGCGTGCTGGGTGGGCAAGCAGACCTGGGTTTGGGCACCGGAAAATAGCCTGACCCAGGAGTTTTAAGACTGGGGCCTCATTCTGGCTCAGTCACAGACTTATTGCGTATCCTTGAGCAAAGCCCTTCCTGAGTTTTCTTATCAGCAAAAGAGGAATAATAAAAGTACTTACTTCATAGGCTGTATTGAGTGAAATAATGCACATAAAACAGACCTTGTACATAGAGTGACGAAGAAAGAAAATATCATACACTGAAATGCCATTGTACCCAACCATTGTACTCGGCACATATCTTATGTAATCCTTAGAACAGCCTTTAAAAAGCTTTTAATTTTTAAAACTTATTTAACTTATTTTTAAACTATTTCTGTGAGTCTAATTATAGAAGAAGAAATATAGAAGTTGCAAAAAAAAAAAGTACAGAGAAATCTCCAGCTGGTACTTTTCATCCAGCCTCCCCCAACATACATAAGGATAGCACAATATCAAACCCAGGAAAATGACATTGGTACAATTCTGTTAACTAGACTACAGGTCTTATTCAGATTTCACGAGTTTCTACATGCACTCATTTGTGTGTAAGTATGCATAGTTTTTTTGAAATTTTATCACATGTATAGATCACTTACAAGAAGCTGGGCCTTGGTGTTCTCATCTATAAAATGGGGTGAAAATACTGTCTTCTTCAGAGGACTGTTGTGAGAATTAAATGAGATAATATATGTAAAGTGCTCAGAGGAATGCCTAAAATGTAGTGAGAGCACACGATAAATTTAAATGCTTATTTAGAAAAAGCGTTTTGAAAAGTAACTTAAAATACATAAATAATTCAGATTTGTTATAGAAAACACAGGAAATGTCCATTAGAGTAAAAAGAACATGAAATAAAATTTTCATAATGCCCTAACCCCCAAAATAACCACTGTTAAGGATTTTGCCACAAATTTGAGGTAGATTTTGCTATTCCCATGTTATTGTAAGAACACTGCAGCTCAGAAAGGTTAAGTAATTTGCCATAGTCACCGAGCTTATGAGTGAGGAACTGAGATTTATTTTTTCCCATTTTTAAACAACTTTATTAAGATATAATTCACATTTCACACAATTCACCCATTTAGTAGATAAAATTCATTGGGTTAAGCTATATTAACAGAATGTGCAACCATAATTGCAATCTAATTTTAGAACATTATAATCACATCCAAAAAAGACTCCATTCTCATTAGCAGTCATTCCTCATTGCCTTCCATGACACCACTCATCTACTTTCCATATCTATAGATTTGATGCTTTGGGACCTCTCATATGAATGAAATCATAAAATATGTGGACTTTTGTGACTGGCTTCTTTAGCATAACGTTTTCAAGGTTTATCTCACCAGTAGCATGTGTGAGTACTTTATTCTTTTTTATTGCCAAATAACATTCCTTTGTATGGATTTACCATATTTTATTAATCCATTAGACATTCTTCCCATTAATCTGTTTTTGAGGGGCTGCGATTTAATGCACACTCTTGCCTCCAGACTCACCGCTGGGGCAGCAGACAGGCCTAGGGGTAATACGGATCCGGGGGGACTGGGAGGAGCAGCCACGCTGGCTCTGAGCTCTTGCTCTGTTCTAAGCACCTGGCAGGGTATCTCAGTGAGTCTTCACGATGCCCTTCGAGGGAGGTACTGTTCCCATTCCTGGAAACTGAGGCTCAGAGAAGACTCTTGCCCAAGGTCAGAGCTAGAGGCCAGTCGACCCAGGGTTCAGAAAAGGGTTAGTCGCATGCCTCAGCCTAAGCTTCAAGGCTTCTGCTCTGAGAAGACGCTAGGGTGGTGTCTGTGGAAAGTCTCTCCAGTTAGAGCTTTGGGCTTCTCTGATCCTGGAGCTGGGGTGCCCTTCCCTAACCCCACTCTGACCCCAGACCGCCAAGACCTGGAGTGAGCCCTGACAGCTGGAGCCTGTTTCCACTCCCGACAAAGAAAGGGGAAGAGACCAAGATATCAGAGATGGAGTCTGCGGAGGAAAATCACCAGAGCCGGCCGGCTCTGCCTCCGTCTTTTTAGGCACCTCTGACCCAGACTTCCAGACGCAGGAGGTGTTGGGAAGGCGACGGCAGGTACATACAGTGTGGCCACATACGTATGTGGCTTTTGAGTTTTACACTAATTATGCTCTCCTTACTTCCAGAAAAGATTTAAAGATAAGAGGCATAGGTACAAGTAAACGTTAAAGAATGATTAAATACACCCATGATGAAATCAAATCGGAGAAGAAAGAAATGATGGTCTTCAAAATGCTGGGCTAGGAATAATCACCGCAAATGAGCACTGAAACGTAACTGTGATC